GATGGATGGATGGATGATGGATAATGGATGGATTGATGGATGGATGGATGATGGATGATGGATGGATGGATGGATGGATGATGGATGGATGAGGAACGCTGACCGGCGGCCATCTTCTTTCCATTTCAGGCCGATGTGTTTCGTTAAGCAGTTGGAGATTCCTCAGTACGGCTATAAGAACAACGTTCCCACCAGCACGCCTCGATCCAATCTGACCAAGGAGCTGGAAAAATACTCCAAGACGAGCTACGACTATAGCGGCTACGACGGACAGCATGCTAGCTACGGAAAAAGAGGCCTCACGTCTAAATCCCAGCACGGACGGGACACGTCTCCTAAGGGATACGACGGTAAGAGGAACGAGGTCACGGTTCCACTTTCACCTCCGGTTCAGTTTTACTGGAAACTGTGGAACCAGTGACTAAATCCATGATGTTTACCGATATAAAACGGAAAAATGTGGGTTTACTGTCAGTTCTTGTTCTTTGAAGGGAATCCCATCATTAGGACCTGGTCTCCTGTGAACAAACATGACTTTGCGTAATGAGGTTAAAATGCTGCAGCTTCTGCGTGAGGCTGGAGAGAAAGCAGAGGGATGGAGGGGAGGAGGAGGGAGTGGGAAGCAGCAGAGATAATGGAGGTGAACTTGGCTCCTTTGGCTGGAAGCCATTAGTGAGATGCAGGGGGAGGATTCAGAAGAGACGTCACGACTGCCTGCCGTCGTTCTGCTTCCTCCATCAGCATCACTGCAGCACGCTGATTCATCCTCAGTCAGTTATTATTCCTGGATTTTCCTTCCTTCAGACCAGTGCCTCCGTAACATCCGCCCATTGTGATGCTGACTGGCTGCTCCTGAACAGATCAGTGTTCCCTCTGACATCCTGATCTTCTCAAAGGATGAAACAGAGCAGGTGGGGGGGAGGGGGGGACATGATAATTAACAATAAAAGCTGAAGGCAGCAGAGAGCTGCTGGACCGGAGAGGAGAGGTGGCGATTAGGAATGATTGGAGTCTGACAGACTGGGGCTCCTCTAGCAGAGCAGATGTTAGTGGGAAACACGCAGAGTTCAGCCTGGTGGCTGCTGTGATGGAGACGGACTCAGAGGGTTCTGGGTTCCATTCCCTTCATCCAGCCGCTATCCGTCTGTGTTTTAATCCCTGCAGCGAAGCGTTTCTGTAAGACATCGAGTCCAGCCAGCAGCACCACCAGCTACGCCCCCAGCAGCAGCAGCAGCCTGAGCTGTGGGGGGGGAGGCGCAGGAGGTGGAGGCGGGGGAAGCAGCGCCAGCAGCACCTGCAGCAAGAGCAGCTTTGACTACACCCACGACATGGAGGCCGCCCACATGGCTGCAACCGCCATCCTCAACCTGTCCACCAGATGCCGGGAGCTCCCCAACGCCCTGGGAGGGAAACCCCACGACATCCTGACTCAGGTAAACTCACGTCACCTGGTGATGGAGGGAGGAGCCACCTGCGTTTCTTTGAACTCCTCCTGGCCAGTAGGTGGCGCACTCACATTCCCCTGCTCTCCTTTAATACTGTCCTCAGGCAGATGCTAGGTCCTTTAATGCTAATGCTAACCAAACCAACGATCCGTCCCGGAAGCACCATCCGTCCTGTGCGTGTGCGAAAAGAATAATAAGATCCGGATTGCCGAAAAACTACGTAATAACAGTATTAAAAATACTTATTTATATACCTAAAACATTAAAAAGTGATAACCTACATCATATATAGAAAATCTTTACGACTTTTGTGGAAGAAATGGAAATGTTTTCCATTCTCTCCATTGTATTGCGTGACATCATCATCGGACACGCCCATAGCAGTCACAGTAACGTTCGAAAGGCTATTTAAGTGTATTACTTCTTTTCGTTTTTAGAATACGCAATATTTACGAAAAAACAAAAATAATCAAAAGACAAAAAAGACAAAAGAATAAAAAAGGAAGAAAAACAAAGTATTGCCTACCTGGAAGTCCGGGTTTTTGTTCGCGCACGTGCAGGATGGATCGGGTAGTGACGACGCACGCCAAAGGTTTAACGTTTAACGAGAATATTTATTTGAATGTATAAAAACTAAACAGCTTACAGTATTCACTGTGTTGTTTCTGCTTTCAGATTAAATTTTCACAAATAAATCACGTTAACCTACCATCGCTATCGGTGCAGAATCCTTTTGTGGTGAAAGCAGCATCATAACCAGAAATAAATTTCTACATAGTTTCAATTCAATTCAGTTTATTTATATAGCTCCAATTCACAACCCTAACCCTAACGTTAGAGACTGAACTAACAGAGATAGAATGAAGCGGAGTGATGAAAAAGGGGTTCCCATGTCCTCCAGTCCTAAGCCTATAGCAGCAGAACTATAGAGATAGCTTTGGACCCATCAAGTTCTATAAAACAGTAATTTATCTACCACACCTTTTTTGTTTTAAAGTAACATTAATACTTTTACTCTATACCATTTTGGACCATCTTTGGATGAAACATTTTTTTTATTTGCCCGACTTCCTGTTCTATGTAAGAAAACTCCATTAGGTTTAACATTAAAAAAGTGGGCCCAGAATCAGACCCTGTGGGACTCCATGTTATAACATAGGGCTGGGTGTTTGGGTAAATATATGAATATTTTAAGTTTTTCCTGCATCTGCTTCTTAAGAGTCCAGTTGGTGATCATGATGATAGTGGGCCTATCGATGTGGCGGTTCAGCCCGGAGGTCCGGAGGACAGCGGCACGGTGTTGACGCCCCTGCAGCCCATGTCCCCTCAGCGGCAGGCTCTGCACAGCAGCCGCTGCTTCCAGCTGGGCGACGCAGACTGCTGGGACCTGCCGGTGGACTATACCAAGATGAAACGTCTTGGAGAAGATCAGGAGCACAAAGAGGTACAAGGAAGGCCCCAAACAGGTCTATGGCTTTAGGAATGGTTTAGAAACAGGTCTTTGTCCCAGCTCAATATTTACAGTAGCAGCCATTCAAAATGGCCCTCCCACTCAAACGCCGGTCGAATGGCAGCCCACTTCCTGCCACTGCAGTGACCCCCCTCTTGCATATTTTTTTACTCTGACTCCACCCTTTCACTGAATTACAGGGTCTGACCAGGAGATGGCGCTCCTCTTTAGATCTTAATGTCCACAAATCATGAAAGAAACAATATTTTAGTACAAAGATGGATGTCTTAAAAGGAATTGTAGGGGACCTGCCAAGGACCATCCAAAGACCAACCAAGGACCTGCCAAGGACCAGGCAAGGACCGGGCAAGGACCAGCCAAGAATCATCCAAGGACCAGCCAAGGACCTGTCAAAGACCAGGCAAGGACCTGCCAAGGACCAGCCAAGAATCAACCAAGGACCAACCAAGGACAAGCCAAGGATCAACCAAGGACCAACCAAGGACAAGCCAAGGACAAGCCAAGGACCAACCAAGGACCAGCCAAGGACCAACCAAGGACAAGCCAAGGACCTGCCAAGGACCAACCAAGGACCAACCAAGGACCAACCAAGGACAAGCCAAGGACCAGCCAAGGACCAACCAAGGACCAACCAAGGACAAGCCAAGGACCAACCAAGGACCAACCAAGGACCAGCCAAGGACCAGCCAAGGACCAACCAAGGACAAGCCAAGGACCAACCAAGGACCAACCAAGGATCAGCCAAGAATCAGCCAAGGACCTACCAAGGATCAGCCAAGGATCAGGCAAGAATCAGCCAAGGACCAGCCAAGGACCCTTCACGGAAAGTGGAGACATTTTGAATGGTTACTACTGTATATCTGGAGCTTCTGAAAGCTTCAGAGTCACAGCAGACAGGGTCAGGGTCAAGGTCAGGGTTCTACCGATCTGTAGTTTGGTCAGAATCCCCAAACCAGCGTTCTCCCATAGAACGTGACTGAAAGGAGACCTGTCATCAACCATACAGTCATTTTTGCACATTCTCAGTTTGACCGCAGAGGTTTAAGATGCCGGTTCTATTCCCCTTGCAGCAGAGAGACGATCTGGACCCGTTCCAGGAGCTGCTGGATGAGCAGTGTTACCCGGGTGAGGTGACGGTGCCCAGCCCCAAACACCACAAATACCCCGCCTGCAAGGAGGGCAAGAAGGAACTGATCAGGTAGGGATAGGACCCACCTTCTAAAGGTTCTTCATGCAGATGAGCAGAAATCAGGCCTGTTAATCAGTGATCACATGTTGTTTAAGGTTTTGTCCATTGAAACTTCAGGGTCGGACTTCAATGGTAGGGGGCATTTTAAGTTTTGGTGGTCATCAGTAGCTCTGGTGTTTGTTTTTTCCTCTGCAGTCTTTCAAGCTGTCAGTTGGTCGATAAGAACATTCGAGGTTTGATGACGCCCAACTCACAGGAACTAAAGTCAGTCTGTGAAATCTTCTCAACATTCTAGCCGCAGGTGGAGTCCCTCCGTCTGACAGATGGTGTTCCTGTTTTTTTACTAGGTGTCCAACGCCGGGCTGCGATGGATCGGGACACATTACCGGGAACTACGCCTCCCACAGGAGGTACAGGGAACAACCCATCAAACAGAATGTGTGATTCCTGATGATCTCTTTAACGGGTTTTCCCGGTGTCTCGTTCCTCCTGCAGTCTGTCTGGATGTCCTCGAGCCAAGAAAAGTGGCGTGAAAATCCTGCACAGCAAAGAAGAAAAGGACGAGCAGGAACCAATCAAGTAAGAGTGGAATATCCCCAAACAGCAGGCATCATGTAAACATTGGTTTTTAGACTAAATCTTGTCGGTCCGTCATAGTCTTGATTTAGTCCAGAAATGGTTGTTGAGAATTGGACTGTTTGGTCATTCTGATTTTGTCCATCTTTAGTCAAATAATAGATGTTGAAAAGATCATAATCCCAGTTTTCAATTATCTGAAAATTCCATCCTTCCACCCATCTTCCTCCGCTTATCCGGGGTCGGGTCGCGGGGGCAGCAGCCTAAGAAGGGAGGCCCAGACTTCCCTCTCCCCAGCCACTTCTTCTAGCCCCTCAGGAGGAACCCCAAGGCGTTCCCAGGCCAGCCGAGAAACATAGTCTCTCCAGCGTGTCCTGGGTCTTCCCCGGGGCCTCACCAGGGAGGCGTCCAGGAGGCATCCTAACCAGATGCCCGAGCCACCTCAACTGGCTCCTCTCGACGTGGAGGACAGCGGTTCCCTCCCGGATGACTGAGCTTCTCCCCCTATCTCTAAGGGAGAGCCGAGCCACCCTACGGAGGAAACCCATTTCGGCCGCTTGTATCCGCGATCTCGTTCTCTCGGTCATGACCCAGAGTTCATGACCATAGATGAGGGTAGGAACGTAGATCGACCGGTAAATCGAGAGCTTCGCTTTTTGACTCAGCTCTCTCTTCACCACAACGGACCGGTACAGCGCACGCTTTTTTCAATTTGAAAATGACGGCTTTTAAACTTTCACATTTCAACCACATGTAGGTTTGGACGCAAATTATGTCGTCTTTACAACGTCTTTGCAACCAATCTTTCCTTGGTGGGATGGCCCACACTTTCATTCAGTTAAACAGTCTCAAAAAGCTCAATTTAGTTGGAAAAAAATTCTTCAACTATTCACCCCAGTTAAATAAACGGAGATCGATGGATTTCACTCAGTCGGCATTTTATTTTATTATCTTTGCAAAGAGAGAGCGGTTCATCGTACGGCCCTCATTGCACAGTAATCAGCCCTGTTCTGTCTAGACAGAGTTTGTCTCCCTTACTTATCTTGATGAAAAACTGTGAAGGTTGTGTCACAGTCAAAACAAATTACACACACTCTTTCTTTAAAATTGACAGACCGTAGTCGCCACGTTTGCTCAGCCATGTCTTTGTCCGATTACATCGTCGCCCTTTTCGTTTTAGGGTTTTCTGCAAAAAATTTCACAAAGTGCGTTTCACGTTTCACTCTAGTGAGCTTCAATATTCCTCATCTAATCGTTTGGCTTTCAGATAGACAAGTCCGAGTAGCGGAAGGATCAGCCATCTTGGACCTCGTTCCTGTAAATAGATTTGCGTCGGGCCACATGGTGTGAGAACAAACATCGTGAGCTTTGAACTTTTAAACCCTGCGGTTTTGTCATACAGTCTGAGCTGTTTACGCCCAGATTTAACCAGTCGCACTGACTGAGTAAGCAACATGTTCACGCAGGACATAACGAAGAGTTTCCGAGGATCTGGATGAGATGGGTTGTTAACCTCCCGGCCTGTAGGAGGCAGCGTCTTTTAGTTGCCTGGTGAAATATCAGCGGATCTCATTAACTGAAGGTCACTCAGATCTTTATTTCGGGGACCGTTGTTGTCTGATACGGTTGGTTCGTCCTCCCAGGTGTCCGGTCCCAGGCTGTGATGGACAGGGTCATGTGACCGGGAAGTATGCCTCTCATCGCAGTGCATCAGGCTGCCCCCTGGCGGCCAAACGGCAAAAAGACAGCTACATGAACGGATCGCAGTTTGTGTGGAAGTCGGGGAAGACGGACGGGATGACGTGTCCGACTCCAGGCTGCGACGGTTCCGGGCACGTCAGCGGGAGCTTCCTGACCCACCGCAGGTGAACAAGCATGAAAATTTTACTCTTAAAGGTAAAGTGGAGGATTTTCTTTTTGCGGGTGGATCATCTAAATAATTGGTCCCCCTAACTGTCAATCATCCTGCTGATATGTTTACGTGTGGACGTCCTTCGTGCTTCTCCCTTACCGCTGTACGCCCAGAAATACCTGCCTGCTGAGAATGACCTCCCTTTTCGCTGGAGCACGCGTCGCTCTAAACTCTGATGAGAAAACAGATTGAAATATGAACAAAGAAGGAACTTTTAGACATATTCTTAATGTTTTGTCAGAAATGATACAGACACACAACTCTGCACACATTTGCAAAAAAATATTGCAACAATATTGCTCCCATACATCCATGCATAAGAAACATGAAAACATTAAGAATATGGTTTTCGTTCAAAGTTAGATCCATTTTCTCATCAGTGTGCGAGAGGGGAGGTGCTTCTCTGCATCACAGGGTGGCGAGTCTGAAATATTGCAAATCTTCTGTTGGACGATAAGGTTGAATTAGCCATGCAAATAGCAACTTTTAAACAGAGCGTGCACGAGGAGAAATGGGCTCGTGCACGCTCTCATATTCGTTCAATAGACGTTCCTCCACAGGATTGTGCATTTTTATTTTTTTTATGGAGAAGGTGGGTCTTTTCAAAAATGTGCGAAAATCCTCCACTATACCTTTAAATGAATTTAAAAATTAAGATAAGACAAAAACCATGGAGTTCCAGCTCTCAGTCCAGATGTTTTCTGCATCTGTTTGTACTTCCAGTCTCTCCGGTTGTCCCCGCACCTCCTCAGCCATGAAGAAGGCCAGGATGAGCAGCGTGGACATGCTGACAATCAAACAAAGAGCAAGCAAGGGTGAGCCAGTTTCCACCGCGTGAGCCTTTCCTCTGAAACGTGGAGCTGGAACCGTCTGCTTGTTTTTCAGGAATTGAAAACGACGAGGAAATAAAACAGCTGGATGAAGAAATCAAAGATCTGAACGAGTCCAATAATCAAGTGGAGTCAGATATGATTAAACTGAGGACACAGGTGAGAAATCCCAGCTTTTCCTCATAACCTGAACATGTTTTTCTATATTTAATAATGGATTATTATAAACCTCAACATCACAGGCGTAACTTTCTGAAGGACGGCTGTGGAAACGTTCTCACCAATAATTGACGCTATTTTCCGCTGATTGGTAACAGACGCTGAGTGCAGCTATCTGTGTTCAGAGCGTTTTTCCTGCAGTTTAGTATATTTACTATTTTTAGGGAGAGAAAAACTTAATTTTTAACTTTTTTAAAAATAAAATGGAGGACGACCCGGATGTATAGCCGGTTGCGTAAATGAGCTGATGGTCGGATCGTCTTCTTGGACGGACCGATTGGCGACACAGCCGCTGCTTGGGGATGATGGGGGCGGAGCTTGATCCACTCCGTTCAGTGAAATGCTCTCAGGTTTCTGATGCTGTCGTCCAACAGATCACCACCATGGAGACCAGCCTGAAGTCCATGGAGGAGGAGAACAAAGTGATCGAGCAGCAGAACGACTCGCTGCTGCATGAGCTGGCCAACCTGAGCCAGTCGCTCATCAACAGCCTCGCCAACATCCAGCTGCCACACATGGTGAGGAACCGTCCCCCGAAAACCTCTGGCTCCGCCCCCTACCGAGCAGGACCGCCGAGCTGAGCTGTAGACACGGTAACAGCTCGGTGTCGAGGACAGAGGCGGCGGAAGCTTTGACCCAGAGAACCGACGGGTCTTTGGGCCTTCAGGTCAGGCTGAGCTCCATGAGGACAAACCTGAGGCTAAAACCAGTAAGGATGCATCCTTACTGGTTTTGGCAGAATGGATCCGGTTCATTCAGGTGTGATGTTTGAGGTTACCATGGTTTCCTCCTGCTGTCTCAGCCGACCTGTTTCCCAGAGCTAAACTCGGCTTCTTTTCTCCTGCAGACACGTTGAACGTTTGTCATAAAAGAAACTGTTGTTTTTTTCATCTGCTTCTTTCTGTTCTCTTCATGCCACTCGTCACAGAACCAATGGCGCCGCTGTGGTTTTGGTTGGATGTCATTTTGTCTCAGTGTCGGAAGGAGACTCAGGCTAATTGGATAATCTCTGGCAATAGAAAGCTGACAGATTACTGGAGCTTTTTGTTCTGCTTTAACGAGCTCCACCTTAACGAGGACGCTGAATCCGTTTGTGTCTCAGACATCTGGAACGACTCGTTAAGGTGGAGATTGTGTGGTTGGTGAGGTTCTGGAGTGATGCTAGGCTAATGGACTTCTCTGTACACCCTCTCCTGTAGAGACCGCTGCCACAGAAAGAGACCCCAGTAAAGCTTAACTGCAGTTTAAAGATGCTTCCCAGAGTAAGACATCATCCTTTATCCAATTATCCTCCTCTTCTGCACCCTTAGCCCCTTACTTACCCCCACTATGCTGCTCATCACTGCTGACCGTCCATCACCTCCATCCTTCACCTTCAATGTTCAGAACTTCTTCAGATAAAATAATAAAAACAAAGAAAACGAATTTCCTGCCTAAAATGAGTCAAATTCAACCTAAGAAGAAACAACTGAGAAGCATGGTGGTGGAGGGCTGATGGTTGGGGCTTCTTTGGAGCCTGGAGTGGCTCTGGAATCAGAAATTATGTTCCATCTTTACAGCTGATTGATCAGAGATTGGATCCAGGTGCGGGAGTGGACCGCCGAACCGTTTATAAGCTGTAGAGTTTATCGAATTACTCATCTATAGAGAAACAATCTGCTACTCTGATCCAAATCCAGACAGGACTGAAAACCTCGCGTCAGAACTTCATCAAAGTCCCGCTAAAGTTTTGATGGAGATGCAACAAAATGAGAACAAAAACTCACCCGTTCCTGCAACCACACCTGCAGCTTAAGCCGGGCATACACTGGACCAAACGCCTTTTGCCCTTTTCGCGACAATTCTCCTGTCGTGTGAGAATTTTTTTAATCGGGCCGACTTTCAGCCTGATGGTGCGAGGTAACGAGGGGCGATCAGCCTCCAACGACCATCGGGAATCGTAAGGTCGGGAGAAAATCAAACTAGTTTGAAATTCAGTCGGACCTCCTGAGCTAGAAGCCGATTTACCAGAACCTAGCGCACTGCACATGCGCAAACATGGGAGTTCTTCTTCTTCTTCCACATTGACGAGCCTGAGTGGTTTTTAGACGTGCAGTTTGAGCAGGTAGATCGCATCAGAG